CATGTGAAATATTAGAAGCATTCCCAATAAAGTCTGGAAAAACACACAGATGTATGGTACCACAAACCTGTATGTGAATGTATAGCAGGACACAGTCAAGAACAAGAATAATTAAATATATGAATAATGAAAAGAAACAATAATAGTACCAATATGATTTTATAATTAAAATACCTAAAGTAATAGGCAAACAATATTCAAATATATAAGGAACATCAAAAACCTAGTATATTGAAAATCACTACGGCAAAATCAGAAACCTGGTCACACAAAATCAATAACTCATTAGAACACGTAAAGGACAATCCCATTCACAACAGCAACAATATCTAAAATGTACCTAAAATGAAACCTTACAAAACTGTACAAGATCTTTATGAAGACAACTATAAAAATTTACTGATAGAGTTAGAAAAAAAAATGTCCCAAATAGAGCAGTATAATATGTTTATTCAGGAGAACAGAATATTGTAAAGAGGTCAATTCTCCTTAACTTATTTACAGTTTTAGTGCTGTACCTGTAGCTTCCAAGATGACAACCAAACTCCAGGTGCGCTCTCCTGTGCCCCAAATCAACCCGGGAAAAACTAAAGAAGGAATAAACAAAAGGATATCAACATTAACAGTAAAACAATAATAAGCAACCCCTGAGGGTACTAAGTCTGTACTGAACAAGGGCTTGTGTGACGGCAGTTGAGATAGGTCTAGGGAAGACAGGATCATTTGAAGCAAAGGTTTTAAAGTTTAGCCCTTGTTTCTCCCAGTGTGCCCTGGGTGGATGAATGTCCACTGCCTCACTGAACTTGAGGGAACTTGAGGCAGCTCCTCAGAGCCCACATGCCAGGACTATTGGGTTATTCCAGGACTATGGGATAATATCAGAACAGCACCAAAATCTGGTTGGTTGAGGTAATATGAGTCCAGAGATTGTCCTAATAACCACCTGGAACTTCTTCTGTTGGTGAAGACAGGGCTTTTTGTAATGGTCATCTTAATAGACTATAAGGCATGAATGGGAATAAAATAGTGAGAACACTTGAGATCTCTTCTTTCAGCAAATTTCAAGTATATAATACATTATAATTAACAAGAGTCACCATGCTGTACAGCAAGTTTCCAGAACTTTTTCATCTTATAACTGAAAGCTGTACCCTTTGATCAGTATCTCTGCTTCTCTCTAACCCCCCAGGCTCTGGTAATCACGATTCTACTCTCTGTTACTAGGAATTCAACTTTTGCTTTTTTAGATACCAAATATAAGTTAGATCACGTGATATTTGTCTTCCTGTGTCCGGCTTATTGCACTTAGCATAATGTCCTCCTAGGTTCATCCATGTTGTTCAAAATGATGGGATTTCTCACCACACACACAAAAATGGTTAACTATGGGAGGAGATATGATAAATACTGTCGTTCTGGCAATCATTTCACATTGTACCCATATATCCAAACATCACATTTGACACAATATACATAAAAAGCAACTTTTATTTGTCAAAATATAAAGAAAATATTGAAATACAACAGCAAATATCACAGTAATTTCACATAACAAAAAAATTCATTCCACAAAATTTGATTAATAACACTGATATCATGCAAGAGAGGCCCCAGAGCTAAAGTTAGGAAAGGGAAGAAACCAGTTAGAATGCGCATCATCAGAAAATCTACAAACAACAAATGCTGCAGAGGGTGTGGAGAAAAGGAAACCCTCTTGCACTGTTGCTAGGAATGTAAATTAATACAGCCACTATGGAGAACAGTATGGAGGTTCCTTAAAAAACTAAACATAGAATTACCATATGACCCAGGAATCCCACTACTGGGCATATACCCAGAGAAAACTATAATTCAAAAACACACATGCACCCCAATATTCATTGCAGTACCATTTACAATAGCCAGATCATGGAAGCAACCTAAATGCCCATCGACAGACGAATGGATAAATAAGATGTGGTACATATAAATAATGAAATATTACTCAGCAATAAACAGGAACAAAACTGGGTCATTTGTAAACACATGGATGGATCTAGAGACGGTCATACAGAGTGAAGTAAGTCAGAAAGAGAAAACCAAATACCGTATATAAATGCATATATATGGAACCTAGACAAATGGTGCAGATGAACCAGTTTGCAGGGCACAAATAAAGACAAAGATGTAGAGAAAAAACGTATGGAAGCCAAGGGGGGAAATGGTGAGGGGTGGTGTGGTAGTTGTATGAATTGGGAGATTCTGATTGAAATATATACACCAACATGTGTAAAATGGATAACTAATAAGAACCTGCTGTTTAAAAAATAAATAAAATTCCAAAAAAAAAAAGGAAAACTTCCAAGATTCGTAGAACTCAGTGCAACTTCCCTAACCCACAACATTGAAACCCACAGGATTCTCACCTCCTACAACCATTTCCAGGAACCCTGAGGCAGAACTGTCCAGATGAGATGTGCCTGCACTTCACACCAGCAGTCTCAGGGAGTTGATGTCTTTGATGTGAGGCCTTGGCCTCAGGTCAGCAGACGGGAGGTAGCCCAGCACCTGCAGGGACTCAAGAGAAGACACTGAGAGAGGATTGAGAGCAGCATCCGCCATAGAAGAGGGGGCCCCAAAGAGCCCTCACTGTCAGTCTCGGGGGACCCAGGCATGGCTGTGAGGCTCAGGGCTCCAGATATTTCCGGCTGGGGGTGCCAACAGAAATGACAGCCAAGGTGTGATGCCTGCTGACTCAGCTCAGCAGAGGGAAATGTCCCAGGAACCGCCAAGAGACAATGGAGGGCCCTCGTGCCAGGCCTGCGGGAATCTCCCCCAGAAACAGCCCCCACCCCCGCCGTCCCGCCCTGTCCCGCCCCGGCCCCGCCCTGGCCCCGCCCCGGCCAGGCCCTGGCCCCGCCCCTGCTGTCCTCCTGGACCCCAGATGCGCATGACCGGATGTAACATCCTCCTAACTGCGCTGTGGGGGCGCGCCATTTTTCAGAGCTGCCGTTCAGCGAGGGTGAGCCGCGGGAGGAGTGCCACGTCTCGTCAGGTGTCAAGGTGTGAGATGACCCCAGTTAGAAGTGTGGAGACACGCCCCCGACACCCCCAATCCCCATTCCCTCCGAAAAGAGGCGGCCACACAGGCCCCGCCCACCCTGACCCTGCTTTCGGCCCCAGAGGCTCGGGCCTGACTGTTAGGCCCAAAGTCCATCCGCTTACCCAGTGGGGTCTCGGGCAAGGAAGGCCTCGCTCTGAGGCTGGTGGACCCTGACTCAGCTCAGTAGAGGGAGCGCCCCAGGCCCTGTGGAGTGAAGGACG